ACATTTTCTATATTAATATCAAGCAGGATTTAGTCTATTAAGTTTAAGTGGTACATGGTGTACATGTTCAGTACTGCCAACACTCTAGTTTTCAATAGATGTGCTGTGCGTATTTGTTTTAAGCATCACTATCAATATATGATTTGACGATTTGGAGTTACTCAGGCTCTGAACAAAATTCACTTCAATCTACATATTTATTTTTTAAATATGTCTGTAAATAATGTATTTAAACTTGCAATTATAAAAGCATCAAAGACCAACTTTGTACTGTGCTCTAATGAAGCCTTTTCAGTTTAAATTATAACGCTGAGATATGTCTGTTGCTAAAGTTTCAAAGAAAGTAGGAACATCCAAGAATGGAAATTTGTCAACTAATTACCTGGAGTGAGCACTGAAGTTATAAAACAGACTTTTGGACCTGCAGTTTATTTTGCAGATGCAGAGATACTATTTTCTGTTGTGGTTAGAACAGTTCATTTCAAAGTGGAAAACAGGTCTGACAGCTGGGTAAGAAACAAAACTCACCTTTTCCTGTCTGTGATTATTAAACTGATGGAGGAGGCTAAGACACTGCCTAAATCTTGAAGGATGTAAGGTTCAATCCAAAATCAGATCAGGAGCATGTTTCAGACACTGAAGTGCTACATTTTAGGGTACTGTAAGCCAGTATTATCATGTTTGTTTGCAGTCACTGTTTTTGTAACATATTATATCTGGCTTCTGGTCAAGAACTTGTTTGTTTCCCTCACATGCAGAGGTATAGAATCTGTCTGCTGGCATCAGCAGTGCATGCTGGGAGAAATGTGCTGCTGCAGGTGTACAGTACTGCCTTTGCTGTCAGAACTGAGCCTCTGCACAATCCTTTGTGTCCAAAGCCTCCTAAGGCAACTCAAAGGAGCCTGATCTCCCTGCTAACAGTAGGGAGAATGTTAGGGTTTCAATCTGCATTCAAAACTAGTTCTTATCATCCCAAAAGCTAGTTCTTGTTGTGTATCAGGGCCACAGCGACCAGAAGCAGTCTGTTCACTAGACCTATAGAGATGTCCCGATTAATTTTCTTCCATTGAACTAATTTCTTTTAGTATATGGTTTGATAAAGATTGTTTAGAACAATGTCTTGAGCAGACTGACAGTACTTGTGCTGAACTATAAACTTTCAAATACTGCTTTTCTTCACTGTAAGTATTTGTCCAAATACTGCCATTACAAATCCAAATTATGAGGCATGTTGTTAATAGATTTTCTGTAACAATTTATAAAAAAATTGAGAAACCAAGGATATCTATGTTTAATAAATGTGTTAAAAGTTGTACCTGCTTGTTCTATGCAGAGAAAAAATGTTCAATCTTTTAAAATGAATTTAGCTGCAAATCTTCATGTTTATAGTTAGAGAGCAAGAATAAACATTTCCTTAGGAGAAGGAAAACAAGTAAAATAAACCACAGCTTTTGCAATGCAGGTCAAGATTTGATTGTCTCCAGGAGTGCCCATGTATAATGTAGGTCCCTTTTGTTTGTGATAGTGGATAAGGAACACAAATGTGTTATTTCTTCCTTGATTACTCAACTGCAAAGAGGGAACTTCACATTTCTACCTCACAGGCATGCTAAGATGTGATGATACACCACTATTCAAATCCTAGGTCGGGTCTGTAAATTTCTCCAGTCACTTTCTGCCACATAAGGCAGTTTAGGTAGTTGAGTGTCTTGACTTGTATTCTGCGTGAGCTTTTAAAAAAACCAATGAAATTAAACCAAGTGAAAATCCCTGCTCACGAGAGTACTAAGTCTCTCTAGTGTGCTCTCTCAATCTCCTTCTCTCTATCTCTTTCTCTCTCTCAATCTCTCTTTATATTTATATATATATAAAAATAAATCATGCTCTCTCTTGTGCTCTCTCTTGTGCTCTCTTGCTTGCTCTCTCATGCTCTGGACAAGAGCATTGCAGATAATAACCAAAATAAAATATTCACTTGGTTCTTTCACAAAATATGAGTGTTTTGTTGAGGTCTGAAAAGACTTCCCTGTTCCACAACTGGCTGTCCTCCCATCCTGGAGATGATTAAGTGATAGCAATTGCTGCTTTGTTTGTTTTGTCCCTGTTGATATGTTCATATGTACTGACCCTATTCTGGTATTTTTTGCTGCACAGTGGATCTGCTCGTTTTTTTGTTTTGGTTTTAAAATGGGAGTTATTTCAAAAGCAAAGGGAACCATTGAAGTTCTTTGCCCTAACTCTAGTTACTAAAGGTAATGAAATTTAATCCAATGCTTGAAAATTCTGAGACAAAAAGTCATTGTGCACTAGTCATGGAACAAGAGAAGTAAAGGCATATCACATCATGGCACAAAAAATAATCAGGTAAAAAATAAGTGGCCTATCTTAATATCTGTGTATGCCTGTGCTGCAAAGAAAGGAAGATGTCTCCCAAGATGTGTAACTATCTCTGCTGAGGGAGAGGACATAGTTCCACATTGATCCCAATTCTGGCAAAAGGTATGACTAAGTATGACCTCAGTAGATGGGCAAAATGTACTGCCCAGGGATCAATGAGCATTTTCCATTCTCTGTCTCCGAGTCCTGGTAATCTCCAGTCCATGACCTAAGTCCAGTGGGGCCCTGAGAGAACAGTTAGAAGTCCTTCAACCTATGTCTGGCTAGAAGAAGGGTTGTAGCCTTCTGGGTGATTAACTGAAGCTCTGGAATGTGAGATTTTTTTGTAAACTTTATCTTAATGTGTAACTGCAAGTGTACTGGAAAAGCTGAGAGCAGTTCTGTTCTCAATCCTGTTCTCCCCAAGGCCCTTGAAGGATGGTGATTGAGCCATCTTATAGAGTCACAGATCCCATGGTTTCAGACAATTTCTGAGTACTAACTGCAGTCTGAATGAGAAACAAATATTGAAGGATTGTCATTTGTTGAAAACTGCTGCTCCATAGGAGATTAGGTTTCAGATAGTAAGAAAGGGAATAAAGGCAGCCAAGACAGTGTTTTTTCCATTTTTAAAGGTGTGGAACTCAGACCTGGTTTTCTTACAGCATTTGCAGGGTTTTTTTTTTTCCATTTTCAGTAAACTTGCAGTCTGAATGAGAAACAAATATTGAAGGATTGTCATTTGTTGAAAACTGCTGCTCCATAGGAGATTAGGTTTCAGATAGTAAGAAAGGGAATAAAGGCAGCCAAGACAGTGTTTTTTCCATTTTTAAAGGTGTGGAACTCAGACCTGGTTTTCTTACAGCATTTGCAGGGTTTTTTTTTTTCCATTTTCAGTAAACTCCCATCCCATCCGAGATGCTGGCAATAGGTTCACCTCAGAGCAGGTTTTCCCCTGATTTCTGATTTTTCTTCTTTGTCTTCGTTGAAACTGCTTCCAAGCTGTCCTCTTAACACATGTGACACTCTTGCAGGCCAATCTGCCCCTGCTGCAGCGGGAGCTGCTGCACTGTGCAAGGCTAGCCAAGCAGAACCCAGCCCAGTACCTCGCCCAGCACGAACAGCTGCTTCTGGATGCCAGCACCACCTCACCTGTTGACTCCTCAGAGCTGCTTCTCGATGTGAACGAAAACGGGAAGAGGCGAACTCCAGACAGGTGAGCACTGCGGCGAGTACCCTGCTCAGAGTGTCCCATAGCTCCAACGTGCTGAGCTCCACCAGCAAGGGGGGAGTGTGTGGCTGGGTGCCTGGGGAAAACTTGGATGGTGTTCTCTGGGTGCAGGTCCTGTCCTGCCTTCAGGTCCAGTCTGACCGTGAATGTTTCCAGGGATGAGGTATCTCTCTGGGCAACCTGTGCCAGTATTTCACCACCCTCCTTGTTAAAAATTTATTCCTTTTGTCTAGTCTGAGTCTATTCTCTTACTAGTTTAAAACCATTATCCCATGCCCTCTCATAACAGGCCCTGCTTATGCATGTGTACATGTATAGATATATATATCTAGAGAGAGAGAGAGCAAGCAAGCTACATTTATATCTCTGTGTATATAAATAGAATACAGGCACACACTGATTCAGTCAGCAAAGTCACCTGAGAACACACCATGGTCACGTTTACACAGAAGTAATACTGGCCAGCCAGTACTGTACTAATTCATGCATTGTATTTCTGTGCAGCATGAAGTGACAAGCAGCAGATCATGACATCTCCATGAGCAAGTCCTTTGCATTTGAGGTTTTCTTGAACAAAACAGTAAATATGTGGAAAGTGGCCAGGGATTTGTACTGGGAAGTGCAAGGCAAACCCCAGAGCACAGTTGGGACTTTGACTCCTTCTCCTGTGGCACGCTTCCATATCCATGTATCCGATACGCATAAGGATATTTCTTCCAAACAGGAAAAATGTTCACTGAAACCTGTTTTGTTGTTGAGCTGAGGAAAGAGTCCATGCAGAAGTGGGGTGAGAAACCTGTTGTTGAGCTGAGGAAAGAGTCCATGCAGAAGTGGGGTGAGCAAGTGCATGTGTGTGAAGTACAGTAGATCTAGGGGTACAGAACAGGTTTTCTTTTTTGAATAAAGTTCTTTGTTTAGTATTGCAACAAGATTACTCTCATGGCTATTTATTTTTAATTGTCTTCCCATGCTAATGTTAGAAATTCCACTAGCATATACATTTTACCTTTGGGAGACCCAAATACTGTACTTTTCTTAGATTTGTTTGCTATGGATTTTAGAGTGTGGAAAACTTATAGTGCTGTTCTGCCAAATGCCACCACCTGCATGCCTAAGGCATGACAAGTGCCCTAGCTATCTTTCAAATGAAAAACATAAGGATTTGGAAAATCAAGAAGCCTTGTAAGTTTGTATAGGTGACATTTTTGGGTAGGAACAGGCTGAGATAGCAAAAAGTAAAGGGAAAATAAAGTCTGAAAGCTCATAGTAAAACTTTAAGCTTCTGACAGCAAGAAGCAAACAGTAAAATTTAGAGTGTCATAGCCATTAGATAGACAAAAATGGCAAAGTATTGAAATCAGCTTGCCTGAGATTGTCTTTCAGGAAAGTCACTGTGCACCAGCAAGGAAATAAGGATATCAGTAGAGGAGCTCTTTTCTGTGTGCTCTCTTTTCACATTTTTCCCTGACAACTAGACCAAACTGCAACAGCCATTGGGGTTAACAGAAACCTGCTAACCCAGAAACGTAATTAATTTTCAGATATTTTACATGCAGTTTCTTACTCTATGCAAAGAGATAATTTTTCCAAAGCTGAAATTTAGCTCCCTGGGGCAGTTCTGCATATCCTCAGTCTTCGCAGAGTAGCGTACCAAAACGTCTATTAAAAAAACCTCTTAAAATCTTAAAACTTATATGTCAGCATGCTGTAGTCCAGTGTCAGTAGCAGACACAGCACTTTTCCTACAAGCAGATAGACACACATAAAATTATCTCATAAGCCTGTGAGATCTGGCTTGACAGAATACAGAGAAGAGGGATGTTCCTTTCTGACAGCCCTACTTTGTTTGTTTTTCCCCTGTTAGTAAAGAGCAGTATTACTCCCATCTCCCATAAGGCCACAAAGGAAAAATGGAAAATCATTGTTTTTCTTTCTTAACATTTGGAATAATGCTCCTTCCCACTGAGACCCGGCTTCACAGTGTTGAATTTTGGTTATTTCATAATGAAGACAGTCTCACCTGTGGTATCTTCAGTCCTGTTTGTAAGGGAGGGGATAGGTGATGCAAGTAAAAATGAGGACATGAATACTTTAACAGAAATATACTGTACTGGTTTTATAGCAAAAAGGATGTAAGATTAGCCTATAAGGGGACCAGCAGATCAGAAGAATACTGGATTTTAAAGTCAGCTTCATCTCTAGACCTAGAGAGATTTAAGTCTGATTTATGGATTTGGTTCTCAGTGTTTCCTTTTAGTTAAAATATGTAGGTGCTCTTGAAACTCGTAAGACTCTGCCCATGAGCCAAGTGCCTTTGGCATCACAATTGAAGTCTCTCTTAGTCTCTGTCTGGCTTGGAGAGCCTTCACTTCCACCCTAGATATTAATGCAGGTTTTGGGGTGAGTGGTAGTTTAAATTCCAGTGTTGTGGGAAAGACTTTGAATTCCCAGTGTCCAGTGAGGGCTGTAGTGCAGGATGCCCCACTGGCCTTCCCACTCTGAGGTGCTAAAGCTGTCAAGCAGTAGCCTCTCTCAATCACAGCTTGAAATTCTGTTCTTCAGTTCTGGATAAGTGGTGTTACAGAAATACCTGTCCTTTCTTTTTGGTTCTGCATTTCTTTGCTGTATTGAAAGACCTGGAAAGAGGCTGCCCAGCTCACCCACTGGAATGATACCTTGAGCTTAAAAAATCAAGCTGTTTTTTCAGTCTCAAACTATCCTGTCACTGATTAGTCACACCTACTTCTTCATTGACTATGACTATGATTAAAGCTATACAGCAAAAAAAAATAAATCCAGTAGTTTTGGCTGAGCCAAGTTCAGTGGCGTTGTCTTGTGCACCCAAGAACATTTTAACCAGAGATTTAGTAAAAAGAACAAGATTGTTTTGGAAAGATTCTTAAATTTACTGAATGGGAGTCTGTGTACCTTTTAATTTGGATAATGTAAGTAAATCAACCACAAAAAGCTGTCCTCAGAGGCAGGACATGCCTAGATTGAGTGAGTATTGAAACCGAATACTTGTTTGGCTTTATACTCATTACACTATTATTTATTTTAATTGTTTACAGAGGAGCAGGAGGAAACATCTGGAAATATATACCTTCTGTTTAGGTATCTAAGTAGTTTTCAAATATGCTAATAAAAATACAGCAGAAGATTTCAGACATCCTTTAAGCGAAGGATTTCCTGTGACTTTGTGGCCAGAATATGGAAAAAAATTACTGAAAGGCATCATCTTTCCAGGGAATCTAAATGCAGTCACCAAGGTATATGAGATACATAGATATAGATACACACACACACACACAGAGTATGTAATGTGTATATTATACGTATGTGTACATACATACATATCTCATATATACATATATGATGTACATTTGTGTATAGAAATATATCATACATTCATATTTGCACTTTTTGCTTGGGCAAGGCTAACTGCATACCATTGATTCCAATAGAGGTGAAATACAGTAAGGGATTAGGCAAATGAAGTGGAATGTGTGTCACGTGTAACCACATCCACCTCCCGATTTCTTGTTAAAGAAAATCTACATGCAGTAATTTTTTTCTGCTTATAATTTCAGAACCTTTTTTGCATATGCAATTTCCAATTCTGGTTATTTATCTGCATATCCAAGTCTACTGTATGTGAGGTTTTATAGAGCAATCTGACAGCAGAGCTTCGTGTTTTACTGAATGTTTTCTTGGTGCATATGGTCTGACATGGATGAGCAGCCACGGTGAGATTTTGGAGTCTATTAAACTAGCTCATTAAAAAGATCAATCTGTTTCTGTAATAACACTGGGAACCATCAGTCACTGCAAGAGAGGAAAACTGACACCTGAGGAGACAACACATTTTGGTAATTTGTTCATGACATGTCGTGAACAAAGTGTTCACTATATTTTGTTTATAACTTTGGGAGTTTGCATTGTAGTGTAGTAAAGCAAGGGAACTTGGACCAGTGTGGGTTTTTATTTTGGTGAATGAATGCTTAGTTATAAATTACGTGATTTTAAATACATTAACCACGAAAGACTTTTTGCTAATTAGTCATCCTTTGAGCTCGCTGGGAAGGGCTGTATGGCACATGAGCATGTCCAATAGTTACTCTACATTTATGACAGCTGCCTACAAAAGTGGGTATAGGATAGCAAAAGAATTCTATGAGTATTGCACTAATTTTGAGTGAGAAGAAAACAAGTGGCCGTGATTGTGCTGTGACTTCAGAATGTCCTGCTGTGATTGCTGTACACTTGGCATCTGTGACAAGAAATTCAGGTCCAAGGTACCTGGGCACAAAGATCAACTTTGATAATACCATTAGGTAAATCTTATTTGAAGAGGCTCCTCCACGTCTCAATAAGGTGAAGGATGTTCACCATTCTTGCAGCTGTGCTTCATGTAAGCCATGCGTAATTATGAGAAATTTTAGAAGAATCTTCTTCATACAAACTGTTAGCAAAGCAATAGTTATCTTTTCAGTAAAACAGTATTATAAACAAGTACTTTATTACAGCAAAGCATTATCACTTGTTTGGTCATTAAACCTTTATTGGTTTCAAGTTCAATTTAAATCAAAGCATCCTGCACAAATAGCAGATGAACAGCTTTGCCTCATTCTTGCAAGCTGACTTCAGTGTTCTTTGAAATTGGTACAATACTCTTGATCAGGTGAAACCTAATTTTCCAGCCAAGGCAGTTTTGCATGGTCAGATTGTCTACCCAGAAATTGTCCATAAATTGCAGTAATTTCAAACTGAAATTATAACCTACAAACAACATAAATTCTGTTAAATGGGTGCAGACTAATGACTAGTGTCTGTTCTGCTATCTTTAATCTGAGTAAATCGTGACTCCAAGTAAAATGACCCCTAGTGTGTTTACAGCTGAAGGATCCCATCTCTATCATATTGCCAATTTTCCATATGACACTGTTGATTTATGTGCACATCAAGGAAAATGTGACCAATAGGAGCAAGAAAAAGTGTCAGTTAGCTTTCCTTCACAATCAGTGTTATTTCCTCTCTACAGCTTGTGGTTGCTTTGCAAAATCAGATAAAAATCAGATGAAAACAGATTAAAATTTTGGTGATATTATATTTGGAACTGTTATTTACATGAGTCTGCCAGTTACTGGGAAACAGGAGTGCTGTCTCAGGCACCTGGGAAAATGCTATTGTCCCAATGGGATGAGACCTGAAAGAACAGTAGGACTGAGATCAGTAGCAGACTAGTAAGTTGACTTCAGAGCACCTGAATTATGGCACTCTTTAGTTCTTTGTCTTTTATCACTACATGCACTATATTCAGATTCAGTGCAAATATAATAAATTTACCATCACTCCTGTTCTGATGAGACTTTTGGAAGTTGTTACCTTTTTATATATTTTATATGGTCAGAAATATAAAATGAGTTTATGTACAGTCAGATTCTGGTATTCTGCTAAGTTGTTTGTTTGGTCAGTGCAGAAAATACAACAGCATATTGTAGAATTTAAGTTTTAACACCCAGAAAAGACATGGCAGCCATCACCCAGCATAATAGTAAAAGCATGATTTTAATTTCAGTAAATGTATTTTCAATAGTCATGTTAATTTTTAGGTTAGTTAAACTCAGGGTTCTAGAAGAAAATGGATATGCTGGTGTGTTGTCCAAGCTGATTCTGTGCATTCCAGTTAAGGTAATTAAGTGGAAAGCATTCCTAAAAAAAACACAGAAATACCCATACATTAAGGTGCAAATACATACATTTGTATGAAAATATGATTTTAACATCAACTTATAGCACAGAAAAGGAAAACTGGATTCCCACATGTCCCAGTTTTCTGGTTTACTTTCCAAAAAAAACACTGAGTGAAAAAGTCAATGAAGTTATTTAATTATTTACTGGTTTTGATTCTTCCCCATCTAAGAGAACATTCTAACTGTTAACATTAAAGAACGCTGGCAAATGAATAGCTTGTCTTGTACAGACAGGAAAGTCCATTTCTACTTCGCATAGTGTGTTTACAGTTGGAAGACCAGGACATTGAGTTTGAGTGGTTATGTGTGAAGGAAATACACATCAGAAGTTATTTAATTATTTACTGGTTTTGATTCTTCCCCATCTAAGAGAACATTCTAACTGTTAACATTAAAGAACGCTGGCAAATGAATAGCTTGTCTTGTACAGACAGGAAAGTCCATTTCTACTTCGCATAGTGTGTTTACAGTTGGAAGACCAGGACATTGAGTTTGAGTGGTTATGTGTGAAGGAAATACACATCAGCAACTAAATACAAAACTTGTCTTGAAGAGCTGTCAGAAACATCACTATCCTTTGGGAGTTACTGCAAGCAGTTCCATCATACCAAAAGTAATTAAAAATACATGTTAGACCTCAGGTTTTCCTGGTTAGGAGTTTTCACAGCCATGTGGCGTTTGCTTTGAAGCAAGGTATATCCTCCACTTTAGCAAAGTATGTCTTTTATATCTGCTCAAAATTAGAATAGCTGTTCTGCTGTATTGGTGAAAGATTCTCCTTTTTTTGTCAAGTTACAGTATAATAAAAAATATATGTACCTGCAGCTTCTCTAGCATGAGTGATTTCTGTGAGATCCCTGAGAAATCTCTTCACTCCTGAAAACAACGCGGCCCATCTTTTAATTTCCTGCTGTTAATTACAAGATCTTAGTTTGATCCTCTCTCCCAGAGGGTATTGGCAATGAATTGTTGGCATCTTTCCTCTCATTGGCAGTAAAGGGGAACCTGTTGAGGGGCAACAATTAATATACCAAGTGTTTCCCCACAGACAGTCCCTCTAGAGTGGTTGGTTGGTTTCTGTGGGAGGATTTCTTGTAGGGCAGTTGGTTTTAACAGTAGGCAAACAAGAAATTTAGATCAAATGTACAAAAATGTTGTTATTACAAGGAAAGATATATTATGCCATCTATTTCTTACAGAGGACCAAGTTCTCTTTTAAAAAAAGCTGAAATAGATCAGTTGTTTAATAAAAGTTTTTCAACAGTTTGCAATATTTATATCTAGTAAACTTTCTGATCAAAGCTAATATTTTTGCAGTGTTTTTTTTATTCCCATGGTAAAAATCCTATGCTTAAGTGAAATGTAACTTCCTGAAAGAGTTGTAAACTCCATGAAGTAACTCTAGTATTTCCCTTTTTTTTTTAATTTTAATAGAAAATTAGCTCAGTGTGAGTTCAAGGTTCTCAGGGAGAGGTGTAAAGTAGAGACTTCTTTGGAAATAGCTGATTATGATTTGAATTAAAGAGTATCTGTAACATAAAACCCCTGTCCTTCTCCCTGATAATTCTTCCAAGTTGCCTAAGCATAAAACACCTCTCTAAGAGTAATAGAGTGGGAAATCCTGAACGTTATTGCGGACTTGAGTCTAACCACATCTTCCTGCAAAATTAATGACAATGACAGCACCTTTGACTGGAATAGCCCAGATGGTGCAAAAATCTCTGAAGGAATCATTTTTCATCATCTAGAGTCATTCTTGCCCAAAGTCTCAGTGTGACACTGAGCTTGGTGGGAGCTCAAGGCATGCTGAGCTTCAGCACTCTGACATTCACTGCCTTAAAACTGTCTACTATCCTCTTGAAAAACACATTTCTAGAACTACATATTTCCCCATATTGCTAAAAGCTATAGCACTATTGAAAGTAGGGATTTCTGTCTCTACCTTCATGTATGAGTTGATGTTATTAGCTTTGCAATTACATGTGTATCCATCCCATCAGCAAGTGATTTCAGTGAAGGTTGCTCACTCTCCAGCCCCTCTCTAAGCGGCTCTATTGGAAGGCTCACCCTGCTAGTATTTCTCAAGTTACAGGGATAGTTAGACAAGGTGAATGAATATGTTTTGAATGAGCAGTGTTATGAAATGTTCAGCAACACCACACACTTGGAGCAAACTGAGAGAACAAACTTTAGTTCCAGAAGCTGCATGTGTAGGTGGGAGTGCATGTTCTCAAGCAGCTTTGCTCACCAAGTGAATTAAAGTTCCTTTGCTTTGTTTTTCAGAACCAAAGAAAATGGCTTTGACAGAGAGCCTTTGCACTCAGAGCATCCAAGCAAGCGGCCCTGCACTATTAGCCCAGGCCAGCGGTACAGTCCAAATAATGGCTTATCTTATCAGCCCAATGGTCTGCCTCATCCCACCCCACCTCCACCTCAGCATTATCGTTTGGATGATATGGCCATTGCCCACCACTACAGGGACTCATACAGACACCCCAATCACAGGGACCTCAGGGACAGAAACAGACCTATGGGTAAGGCACGTTGATTTTTCTGCATTGTTTTTTAGGTTCTGTTTTCCTTGTAATTATATTGTGTATTATGAACAGGATTTTTTTACCTGCTATTCAGATGTAGTCTTTATAGCTGTTTGTCCATCTAGCTGCTTCTAGTGGCCTTACTGCAGATTTCTGTTTGCAAAAGTGGATCAAATTGTGTCCTTAAGCAAGAGAGTCAGAAGGGGGAGGAACCTGTGCTTTCGAAGCTATGTAGGTGACAAGGACACTTGGAAGTATGGTAGGCAAGGATAGGCAGAGCCTTTTATTTTTACTCTATTGCCAAATTTGTGATAACATTGATATAGCTTGATTTCAGCTTAGGGTGGAGTAAGGTTGCTATCTTTTGGAGAAGTGTTTTGTGTGTGGCAGCTGAATAGTGCAGTGTAGTTTGGGGATGTCTGCAGAGGATGCAAACATCAGAAGCACCAACCACACCCTGTGCAGCATGGTTTGGTTTAGTGGGATGTCGGATGCTCTTGGATTTGCCTGGCTTGCTTCACATCTGCACTTACTGTTCTTCCTTGTTTTAAACAAATCTTCAATAAAAGAGGAGCACTTACAAATATTCAGCATCTGTATCGAGAAGGCTAAACAAAGAACAAGTGTTGGTTCCTCTTGAGTGTTGATAATAAATACTGGCTTGGTTGTATCATGTTGTCAGCTGCTCTGATATATGTGCTACATTTTAACCACATGTTGTTTAAACATCTGTGAAGGGATGAACCCGTAATGAGGCTCTGTTGACATGGTAGTAATTACTGCATTTAGTGAAATAACATTGAGTTTATACTAATATTTTTCAACCATCTGAAGTACAGCTAGTATTTGGTACACTGAGTTACCAAATAATTGCCTTGCTGACTTTAAGTAGCGCAAATGAAAAATTAGATATTATATGTTATACTTATGGAAAGAGTTATACCCATTTTTAAAAAGTTATCTTGCAACCTATACAGGTTGCAGAATTGAACACATTAAATTGAGCCAAACAGTAGTATCTTGTATGGGAAAGCACAACAAAAACCTTAGAACAAAGGTTTTAAGCATCCATTTATTTTTGTGCTGACGTTTCTGATGCTAGAACAGGCAATAGAAGATGTTTTTGTCTATAGGCTCTTTTTTTTTTTCTGCCTTTTTTTTCCACCTAGAGGACTCCCAACGTGTAAACATGATTTGCTCCTTTTTGGCAGGGTTGCATGGCACACGTCAAGAAGAAATGATTGATCACCGGCTAACAGACAGAGAATGGGCAGAAGAGTGGAAACACCTTGACCATGTAAGGGCTGAATAATTGTCTGGAAGGAGTCCTTCTAAGATAGGAATTTAAAAGTTTTAAAATAAATCTGAATCCTGGGACAAGTTTTGAAAGCATTAGTGATTAAATCAGAGGGTTTGATGTTCCCTATTAGGTAGCTCATACCAGGCCTGGCTGTTAAGTGCCTCCTGCAGTATCCTAATTATTACAGACTGCTAAAATAAGAATGGGATCTTCTCTATAAAGGTTGGACCTGGGACACACTGGATTTGTTCTTTGAATTTATTAGCTCTTATAACATTTGTAGGCATCGGTTCTGGGCCAGATCTCCTGGCCTCTGTGGTGTTAGTAGGACTACAGCCTGTTCAGTTTTTTCCTCCTTGTTTTTGCCCTTTCTCCTGCAAGTCCCTATCTGTACAGTTTAGGATCACCACTTAAACAGGAAAGGATCGTCCTTAAAACTAGTCTAGAATTTTTCAGTTCTATTTGAGATAACAGAGAGGGACTCCATTATTAAAACCCAGGCGGTCAGCACATTAATATTTTCTCTATTTTTATGTCAGTCTATGAATAAAATGTTCTTCTTTGTTTCTCTGCTCCATCCACTGCTGTGAATAGTTGTTAAACTGTATAATGGACATGGTGGAAAAAACTAGGCGATCTCTCACTGTCCTACGGCGATGTCAAGAAGCAGACCGCGAGGAGCTGAATTACTGGATACGGCGGTACAGTGATGCAGAAGATTTAAAAAAAGGTGGTAACAGCAGCAGTAGTCATTCCAGACAGCAGAGTCCAGTGAATCCAGATCCAGTTTCATTAGGTACAGTATCCTCATTTAAAATTGTTTACCAATTCTCTTTAAGCTCTGCTAAGTGCTAGATGAAGTTTGTATTTGTTCTTCTGATTCTTCTGTGATAATGATGATTCCTCTCTGCTGACTACTGAATTAAGTTCTTATGTCCTAATAGTCAGGTTTCTGGGTGGAATGGCTTGAGTTTTTTAGGTGATGCTTGGTAATTTGTCTTCCATTCAGCAGTCTGAGAGTGGTGGGATGGGAGGACAGACTGTTGTGTAGGGATGTCAGAGCAGTGAGATGTGCATTGACTCCCTTCTGACTCCCTCCCTTGCCTGCTTGATTAAGGAAACCTGTAGGTGCTTCTGTATTGTTTGTACTTTGAAACCAAGGGCTTTCACTTTCTCAGATCAAATGAAAACTTGGAAGTCATCTTTCTAAGGAAATTTGAAGGGAGATATAAAGATATGAGCACTTCTTAGCTGTGCTTGGCTGCTGTTTAAGAACAAGACAAGATCTGGGATGTCCACAGCCATGTACTCAGTCTGTGTCCACAGCTGCAGCTTGTGCTAGTTTCTGAGCTAGTTTGGGTACTACTCGCTGTATCGTTACATGGAACTGCTCAGGGCTTGGCTCAAGCTGCAGGACCCCCTTACAAGGATCAGACCAAGCAGCTGGGCTTTCACTCCCTGCAGACCTTCACAGTCACACTTGCATGGTACCTCACACACCTACTCCAAGAGGACTCTGTTGTATAAAAAAAAAAGCTTTTATACTGTGGGCTTTCTGTAATTTGTTAGTGTGCTGGATGCTTTCTACCCCACCCCTTCCCTTTCATAGCACATATGGTAAAGAAACACATTTTGATGCCTTTGCTCTTTTGAAGAGAACCACAAACTATGATTGCTTCTCTAATATTTATTTAAAAAAAATAAGTTGTCCATATCTAATGCCATTTACTAAGAATCCTCATAAACTGTGCTCATTAGAGGAATTGCACATGCATGTTATTTTGCAACTATATTTTATTTAAAACTGTGTTTTCCTTTTGCCTTTAAGAATAGCTTATTAAATAAAAAACTTAATTTGGGATAGAAAAAGAGAAAAATAAATCTAATCTCCTCTCCATCATTCTCTTGGTAAATCCCTAGAGTTATCACTGTAATATTTAGTGCCTCTTGATAACAAACAAACCTTTTTTGTGTATGTGCCTCAAATTATCTGGGCAAATACCTCTATATATTAGTGTCAGTCAGTGAAAGAAAGGGTTATGGAAATGCTGTTCCCAAGCTCACTAATATGTCTAGTCCCTAGAGAAGCCCTTCTCAGAAATAAGCATTCAGGTAATGGCTTGTATGAATAGTGTTAAATGTAATGAAAGAAAGACTCATAAGTATGACATCTGAAATGTTGATCACATATGTTGCTTTGAGAAGAATAACTTGTGACTAAGACCCTGGATCAAAAGCAGTGGCACCCTTCTCTAGTAAAGCTATGATGCCAGAAGAGCCAGGCATGATGCTTGTAAGTATAGTTAGTAGGTTAAAAAAAAAGGCAACTTGAGTTTATATATTTCCCTTAAGAAAGTGTTACTCAAGAAATTCATCAAAACTTTATAGATAATAATGCAATCAAAGAAGAATAGTCATAACCACAGCAACAGGTACAAAAGATAAAATCAAGCGTACAATCAGATCCTTATATTATTGTTTTGTTTGTGCATTTGTCAAGTTAAATTTTTGGAAACAGCAAAGTCTGTTGGCTTAAAAAACATTATACAGCACAGCCTTCGGCACTGAGCACACAAATTATCTCTGCAGTACTCTGTGTACAACTGAACTGGTAGGAGTGAGTCCACTCAGTTTTAAGGTGTCCATTTTGGTTATTTGGCTGAAAAATTACTTCTGAGGCTCATGAACATGAAACTTGGATCACTTTGGTGATGCAGCATCCATGTCAGTCATAAATTTTGATAAGAAGGACTTTTATGTTTGAGGTGCCAGGCAGAAAATACTTACTTTGGAGTGTATGGAAAGGTAATCCTTATTTCCTCAAGTCTGGTAGTAATCTAGTTAACAAAATGAAAAGTCCTAACATTCAGAGGTATAATAAAATTGAAGCAGTGTCTGTGAGCCTTGAGATGCTTTAGGGCTTTTTATTTTTGTTTTGAAGCAAGAAAGAAGGGGTTGGAAAATTCTGCCAATATTTTAATGTAAGCGCCACAACATCTAAATATTGGGTTTTTTGCTGCAGGGATTCTAAATGTCAGTGATTCCCATTTCCTTTGTTCTTTTTTTTTTTTCTTTTTTTTTTTCTTTTAACGAGGTAATCCACCCTTTAAATCCATCTTGTCATCTCCACTAGCAAGGGGAAGAAAAGGGGGCCATATGGTTACATTGTCTGTGTCTTTGTTTCTTTTTCTTTATGATTAGAATATCATCACTGAAGTGATAAGTTCTCACTATAAACATTATGCCACAGTTTTCATAGGTAGCTTTTGCTGAAAAACTCTGATTTGAAATTTAGCTCAGATAGTTTGAGTCCAAAAGAAATAGAAGAAAATTCTGGTTGTCACTTGGAACCAGTAGACTGTTTTTTCCACTAAAGGATTTTGTGCTCTTTTAATTTGACATCCCTGTAAATCATGTTGAGCATGACAGTTTGCAGTATCTGATCAATATTTTTCTGTTGATATTTTTAATTAAGAAATCAAATGAAATATTTGATGATTCATTTTAATGCGATGTAATCCGATACACGCATTAGCCAGCTACAAACAGGTTACAAGCTCTCATTATTCTCCAAGAGTGTGCTGAAGGTAAGATAGGTCTGTTCTTTTCGGACTGAATAATACATGTTTATGGAAGTCTAAAAATGACTCAGACTTTATATATATTCACTTGATTAACTGTGATGGTCTATGAAGTGAATAATACATCATCCGACTCCTCCATTTCTGCTGAAGAATTTCAGTACTACATACTGCAACAGGACTGCAACTTTCATCCTAATAGTGAATAATTACACATATCAGACACTGTATACTGAAATACACACAGTCAGATAAATTAAAGATGAGGGTTCTTCAACATCATGGGTTATAAACAAGATCTATAACCTTACTGAGTGCAGCTGTGGCTCTGGATAAGTGGTGTAGGCACACATCAGAAGGTCTGCAGCACTGTTGATATTTTGTGTCTGTTGAATTTATCTGAATGGAAATCTTACAAATAGAGTTTGAAATCTCCAACTGAAGAGTGCCAATACCTGCAGGATTTGCCCCAGGAGAGCAGGATTCTCAGAAGTGTATGAATTTGTCAAAAACACATAGGTTAGCTATTTCTTAAGACATTTTTAAGTGTTAACCCTTTCAGGCCTAGCTTATATTTTATCTAAGGTTGTTCACCATCAGTTTTCAGTGTGAGCCAAAGCATCCCTGCTGGTACAAGTCTATTCATGCTGCAATCATAAACCCGTTCTTTTGCCATTTGCAGATAATCAAGCATTGCTGTGATATGCATGATATTCTCAACATGAACTAACCAGAATGCTGTGAATATCACAGTAACCAGTATAACTTGTAATTCTAGAATGTAAAGCCTCTGTAATACTGGTCACTGATGATATTAAGTATTGTTCTTAATCCACTTGCTGCATGGGAGGTTTGGGCTAGACTGTGGTGTACTGACCTGCCTGCTGGTAGGTATGGCTCCAGCTGCAGAAACATTGCGTCTTTGCAATCTCAGTGTTCGGTTCTGATTTGGCCTTGGTTGAGGATGATTCAGTAATACAGTACCTGTGCAGTTTTTCTTTTCCTATTTCCTTTTAAAATGAGAGCACAACTATATTTTTAGACAATTTCACATGTCAAGAAGGGCTGTAAGAGCTGCAAAAATGTATTAAAGGGCAAAGAAGGACAAAGATGTCTGTAAAAATACTGGAAACACGTGCCCCCCAACCAGGTTAGCAAGGCAGTCTCATTCAGTATTACATATCTTCAGATGTATAGCTATATATTTCATTATTTGGAGTTGGCTCACTTTTGAGCTTGACTCTTACAAACAAGGTAGCGAATATTTGATATTTGTTGCTCTGAGAAATTTTTTGTTTGCCATCTGTGCCCCCCATAGTGTTACATTTATTATAGGATAAAATGAAGCAGAACTTGCATATGAAATATGAAAAGTATATAAATACATATAAAAGTACATATATTTCATTTGTGAAATAATCTGTAATTCAAGACTGTTTATATGTAGCTTTTATTTTTTTGAGCCCTGATGTTCAGTATGGCATATAGGGTATTGTTGTCCCTGACAGTATTTTCATAAATACAATATATTCTAAAAGGTCATCAAAAGCTCACCTGTTTCCTTTCTTAATACTTTGTATTATAGGCTTGCATGTCGTGGTCCAGTGATAAAAACCTCCATTCTTTTGTATTGCCAATCCATCTTCTGTACTTCTTTCCAAATAAGGTTTGGGCTTTTTGAGAGTTTTAAACACATCTTTTCCTTTTAAGTCTTTCTCTTCTGTTTTCTTAGGTTTGGACCTTATTATCACATGAGTGTTCATATTCTTATTTTTGGTCCTAGCTTTTCATCTCAGTTTCACTTCCCAGACCTATATATATATTTCTGCTCTTACAACTCTCCCCATCCCTCCATGTCTCTCTCTTTACGTATTTTCTTAAAAGCACCAGAAATATTCAGTAGAATGTGAGGACTGAAACAGAGGCCACTTCTTGTGTGTTTTCCTCATGTGTACATTTCTGTCCCAGTCCAACAACTTCCTTGCTATTTCACACGTTAGAAAATTCCAAACCCATTTTTGATTTCAGAAGTGTATTTTATGTCATTCTGCATAATAACATTGCATTTTCACCATTAATGACATTTATTATTATGTCTGACATGTAAAGCCTTTTCCGTTATCCTTTTCTATATGAGCTGCCTTGTCATTTCTTGTTATTCCTAATTTTGTCTGATTTAATTCCATTTCCTTTCAGGCAGCATTTACTTTGACTTCTAGGTGCTGTAGTCTGTCAGTTAATATAATGTGTTTTCCTCATTATGGTTTTTTGCCATTGCTTTTGAATTTAATATTGTAGAAACTTCACTCAATTGTGTTACTCTTGTTTGAGTTTGCTAGATGTCCAAGTTAAGATCTTTTGTGCTTTAGTTTTAATGAGCAAGGTCTGTGATTCTTAAGCTGAAGGACATCTTGCCTTAAAATACTAGTAATAGAAGACTTATATCCTCTGGTCATGTCCTGTAGTTTAGCCTCGGAAAGAAGATTGTTTTCATGGACTCATCACCACTGACTAAACAATAGCCATGTTAATAATATTTTTCTTGCTTGGAAAATGTGGTTTTTATTATCTTCATAAGTGCTTCTTGTTCTTGGGTTTTTGTTTTTTTTTTTTGGTGCACCATTCCAAACTATGGGAAAGTCTCTCACAAGCTCTTGATTTAATTCTTCTTGCAGAGGATCTCATTCCTCATGTAAATAATTTGTGGTTGGAATAAGAGCTTGATTGATGTTTATGTTTTGGAAATTTTAACAATTAACTGGCAATCTGGTCATTTATGTCATTGAATTCCACTTTTGGAAAGTCATGTGTACCAAAAAATCAGTTCCACATCTCTTCTTGTTTTTTTAAGTACTAAGTACCATAGACTTAAATCATAGTCATGGTACCCTTGCACTGGATGGTACCTTAGATAGCACAGGGAAGCTCAACACAAAGTGCAAGATGTGGCTGCAACAAACCCCTTAGTTTGCCACCTTTAGAGCCTGGTTGGGACTCTTCTTACCGGTATTGCATGAAGAGAAAATAAGCGTGGTTTAATTTTTTGCCTTTAGTTTTCCTGAGCTTTCAAGCAATATTTTCTGCTGCTGCTTCTGTCCCCCTGACTGAACTGGCACTGTGCCCAGGAGTGTAAAAGCCTCCAAGGGATGAGAGAATTGTGCACAAGGATATTTGTCATCTCCAGAATCTTATAAGCCAAGTGATACTGAGAATTTTCCCATTTTTGGTATCAGGTCTGAAATCCTCTATCAAATTGATTAAACCAATATAAACAGCTGTTTTTCAAAGTCTTGCACACACACAAACACACTTATCATTTTATGCTTGAGAGATGTGAAATTCTGCCGATAAAAATCCATTTTATTGTCATCCCATACTTGAGTGATAAACAGAAAAGCTGGGGAAATCCACTCAGCTGCCTGTCAGATCCACTGGTGTCCGCAGATTCTCGTACTAGAAACTGCATCTGTGAAACAATGTGCAGGGTTTCCCTACTCTTTGTGTGGTTGAAACAGCCCCTGTCATTTCCACCTTTGTTAGCTGGCTGCAATATTACATGTCAATTTCTAAATGCATTTAAGTTCATAGGCTACTACATATAAACAGTGCTGCATGCATTCATATAGTGGTGTAAAAAATGATTTGCAAAACCTGATGATTCAACGTTTTTCTTACAAACACTACTTTTTGACCTACTTAATGAGTAATAACTCTAAGGTATAAAAATTAATATATTTAGTTAAAATTAGTATTCAAAGAATGGCCTGTGTACTTTTGTTATATTTCAAGCTCAGACATCAAACAGGATGTTTGATTTCCAGCAGCATCTCTAAAAAGATTCAAACCTATCACTAATGTAACAAATCAAGTTATTTTCTTTAGACAATTGAATTCTGTCACAGGCAATAGTAATAATGCAGTGAACTTTTGTGTTTGGGGTTTTTTTCATTTTTTCCTCTATTACTTTGAAAAATAGTTAATCAGTTTTTAAATTGTATTTGAAAAGACCAGCTTTTCATCTGCTGAGGATCTGTATGCAAAATTTCAGGCCCAAGTGAATTTTCTTTCTGTGTTGTCTGATCTCATGTCTTTGAAGTCCGTGTGGAAGAGATCTTGCTCATTTCAGAGCTCTTAGGCCCAGGCCCAGAGGTTAAACCCTTTGAAAAAAAAGAGGAGAGGGGGAAAGAGCTGTCAAAATGTGATTGAAATATATGGGTGAATTATGAGCTTCAGCTCCAGTGAGGTTGTTTGGCAGCACATGTATTTAGAGGCTTAACCTAAAGTTAAAGGTTCTGTTTTTTCAAACTCTTGCAGCTACAGTTGCCAACATGGGCTCAGATATAGGAAATCGTAGTTCTGAACATAGAAAAACACTCCTTTCTTTTTCTGTGGACAGCTTATTTGATCACTGGAATGACACCTCTGCTTTTATCTGCTCTTGTCAGTAGCCATTCTGTTTGCACAGAGCAGAAGTGCCAAACCCAGACTGTTGCCCTCTTTCTTCTTCCTTTTCATAAATATAATGACAAAGGATAAAGCACATCACTCCCTCAGTCAGTCTCTCAAAGCCTGCCTTAAAAGTGTGGAAACTGTCATATAAAGTTGACTCAAAACACTGTAAAATAAAAGTAAAGCAAACTAGTCTCAGCTTGGCTTAACATGAGACGTTCAAGTCATAGACATTGATCTGGTCTGTGTGACATTCAAGAGCTATGGGCATAGCATCCGTTTTGTTTTGAGGAAAGAAAAACTTCACATGATTGTTTTTGTTACAGCAATAAGTTAAGGGAAAAGGTATTTCTCTAAGCCTTGTTCTCAACAGGTAAGCATTTCTTATGATGCTCTTTCTTTTTCCCTCTGCATCCCCTCCTCCTACAGAATCTCATCGGGAATTCCTTCACAGGCCTGCGTCTGGATACGTGCCAGAGGAGATCTGGAAGAAAGCTGGTAAGAACTGTTTGAAAACATCAGCTTAGTCTTCTGGCAGCTGTGTGCAGTTGTTAACGCACTGATGTGAGGAATGGGGGGGGTGGGGAAGGGCTTACTAGTAACAAGAAGAAATTGTGTTTAATAATTTTAAACTGGAACTGATCAGGGCATTAAATAATTTTATGACAGAAGCATCTGCTGCTATAGTTAGGCAAATATCAGTACTACCAATAAGGACCCATATTTTCAGGGGTTCTAATGGTTTCAGGCTGAAACTTGGTATGTTAAAGTTTCGGTCTGTTAGCAATTTAAAAAAAATTGTGTGGGGTTTTTTTGCCCTTTTCTTTTTTTTAACTTCAAGGTTCTTACCTAGTTAAGGTAAGAATTCTCAAAGGAGGGAAAAAACCCCTAAGTACACCTGTTAAAGAAAAAGCTTCAACTATGCAATGTAACCGTTCTTAATTTGAGAAAGATTTTGTACCTGTCAGTTCCCACTGAAGCCTGTGCTCATAAACCCGCAAAGTTTTCAATGAAGTAAGCAAGTTTGCATGTCTGCAGCTGCTCTGGGTGGTTGCAGGGACACTGACGACATCTGCCCCTGCCTGGAAAGCACCGTGGGCGGATGTGCTTAGGCAAAGTTTTTTCAACACTGAAACTCTTGCCTGAGCACAGGAGTTTTCCTGGCGAGGATCCCACTGTGGTGCTGGAGCTAAACCTTTGCTCTTTTGACACTGACATCAGAGCTTCCTTGTTTTCAGAGGGCCCAGGAGACAGCTCTTGAACTCCAGCAAGACAGTTAAGCTGCTGCATATACACTCATACACAACCCCCTCCTTTTGAACACGTATGTGACCATGAAGCTACAGTATCTCTCTGAGCAGCAGTTAAGAATTAAATGGCAGACGTACAGACAGTTGAATCAAGTATGAAAGTCCGTGTGGGATGCTGAATCCATTGCACTGAAAGAATGTGGCATACAAGTGGTTAATAAGCAATCTCAAAAGCATGTGGAAAAGGGATTCACTTTAAACTTTTGGATATTGATAGTCTCGTCTAGGGTGCAATTCTTGAAATATACTAAGTTAAGCATGTGCTTTTGTGATTGTTAGAGCAAGGACATATTATGCAGTACCTCATGAGTTAAAGCCACGTGAGCCAATTCAGTTTCATACATCAGTAGAAAGTAGTCATCAGTGCCCTGATTCATATCATTGAATTATAGATATGGAGATGAAGAGTCCAAGACAAGTTCTTGGTGTCCCTCAGTAGATGAGAGAGAGGCAGGCAGGTAATGAGGATGAGTCAGATCATAGTTTGGATGACTTGCCCTCTGGAAATACATTATCTTAACTACAGAGAGGGTCTCAGGCCTTTGTGGGCTGCTGCTATAGCTTCTGAGTCATGCAGGAACTGTCTTCCAGCCATTCCCTGTCACTTAGCCAGGCCCACTGCCCATGGCAGTCCAGGTATAAGTTCTGGAATTAGAAAACAGGTGTGGAATGACCATATTTTGTCATACAGACAGTAAGGGTCCTGCATTTTGCACAGAGTAATCCTGAGATAGGGATGGTGCATTTTGGGATATGATTCTGAGATAACTCATGGCACCAGCTGCTGACAGCCGCCTTTGCTAGTGTCAGCCTGAGACTGAAGTGATGCAAAACATCGTGGTAGCACAGGACTTGACACATGCCCTCCACCTCTCTCTTGTCATGTGGACCAGGTGAGTCTACCATGTGAGCGAGGTGCCAGGAGCTGCCTGCTGAGTCATCATGTTGGGTGAAGGAGGAGTCAAATACCTTTTCTGAGTCTGCTCCAAGGACCTCAGACCATGCTGAGTAATGCCTATTCCACATAGGCGGTTTGCGCCCTGGAGCTTCTCTAATGAGTTAGCACTACTCAAAGGGAAGGAAGATTTCAGCTGTGTTCCTAAAATGACCACCTCTTAGCGTTGGTGGGAGGGTGGAGGATGCAGATGCATGATTCTTAGATACTTGGGCTTAAAAGACTTACAGATTTATGTTTGCTGATATTGGAATCTAATCACTCTTCCTTTCTCTCAAAGCTCAGAGAAAGGAAGAGTGCTGGTATTATTCTTGGGCTTCATAGCTCAGCATTATCAAGGCAGCTAAAATCACCTTCATTGTCACCCGTAACTTTTCCCGCACATATATTACGGTTTTATTGTTATTTTAAACTATGAAGCCTGCATTCTGTGTCTATAAAGTATCAATAGGTAGGTAGTGGAAACATTTAGTTTGAGAAGCTGTGAAGAAAATCGGTGAAACAAAACTTTGCCTCGTTATTTTGGGTGTTCACAAATTCATAATATATTGAAATAGTAATGGTGCATTGTGATAAAAACCCCTAACATATTCTGTTTGTTTTCACACTTAGTATAACACAAGTTCTGCCATCAAAGTTATTTGATATACTAAAATCTCACCCATAGTTTATGTCAATTAAAAAGTATCAAACAGGTATATGGCCACGTAAGCATTTTCAGCATCTTCATGCTCTCAGAAGCTTTGCAAAAAAAAGTTATGCACTATCGAAGTTAGAATATAAGATTCAATTTCTCTATTTGGACTGAAAAGAAGTAGATTAGCTAGGATGAAAGACTGAAATTAGAAATCCCTGTAAAAATGTTGAAATGTTTTACTTCTATTTAATATAAGAAACTGACATTTCTAACCACTGCAAACATCTAAATGTAAAATTAAATTTATATGATGTAATGAAAGTGCATCATGCCATACAAAGAAGGTTTCTGTGTGTAGCAAATACCAGCAATACAGATTTTCTCTAGGAAATCCACTTTGTTAGTAACTGCGGTTCATAGACACAAAATGCCTGTATTTAAGTTGCCTCATTTTTATGAAAATGGTAATAAAATTGCATCTGTATATTTGCGTGTGTATATTTCTTTTCTCATGATCAGTGAATGTTTGCAGTTGGTAATAAATATTCAAGCACCTTGCAAATGTCCTACCAATTCCCTTTGCTGATCTGTGTGTGCCTGTGGGACTAGAATAGGAATGCATAATTTAAATATAAATTGCCTGATTTGCATATACAATTAGACTAGCTGCAGCTTTGATCGTAAGCAAAAATTATTGTCCTGTATTGCCACTTAGATAGAATTTTAATTCACCTTGAATATTCAAAGTAAATTAAGCCTTGGTTGTATGGTTGAAGGGTATGATTTTTCCCTCTCCGGAGGCTTTCCCCTAAACAACATTTATGGTAGGGTAATATAAGGGCATATTTTCAGCCTCATAAAAATAACGGCATAAGTTTTATCTCTAAATTCCCACCACCCCCTTGAAAACTTCAGCTGAACCATTTCTTGCAGACATGCACACTTGTAATATGCACACATACCTCCCAGTAGAACTCTTCTTTCATTTTAATTATTTCATTTTTAGTCTGTACTATGTCTTAAAGTTAAATCTTTCTTGCAATTTGCTTAATAACTGAAAATGAAGACTTCATGTAGTCCTTATTGTTTTTAAATGGGCAGAGGTATGAGACAGCCCAAGAGAAGGCCTGACTTACTGCCTGTATGCAGGAGTTAGGTCTGTGTGTGCAAGCACATGGGCTAAATGCATGGACTAAAACTCAGTCCCGTAACACCGTTGTGATACTTAGATTTTAACCTACAGTAAAACATTTTTTAATAGAAATCTATGTTTTTAATTAAACAGATCATTTAATTAAGGTGGGTTTTAAGTGCATGAAACAATTAAGTGCAAACACTTGAATGAAACATGTCATAATTAGTTTTAATAGAGTGTTAATTGGTACTAGGTTTGCCAAGTTAATAATTACTGCTTATTAAATTTTCAATTAATCATTGTCATTTTGCTTTGAATAAAGATGAAAATTAGATAAACTAATTCAGGGGGAGGATGGTTTCCTTGTTAATTAGAGCAGTTAATTAGAAAAAAAGAAATTACTTGTTTTACTTGTCAATTAAAAGACTGTTCATTAGTAAAATCTTCGCACTCTTCCTGCATCAAAAGCCAAATAAGTAATCTGAGACAATCCATGTTTTCTGGAATAAAAGACATGATGCTAGTATATACCAAGGAAAGGGCTCATATTGCCTTAGCTGTTTTACAAGAAGCACGAAGGTTTGAGTTTAATGAAGCGTTGTGCCCCTGCTTAGTGTTAATTGTGTGCTGAAGCCTTGCTGGCCAGGGTGTGCTCAAGAGCTCGGCGGAGCCAGGAAGTCGAGTCTACAAGTATAAACATGGATTTGAAGGAGAGATCAAGAGGTCAAATGAATGTTCATAAACAAATTTTAATTTTGTCTCATAAAACTGTATCTCCAGGAAAAGATATTAGACTAGTGATTTAAATTTTTAAAATAATCTTCTTGGGGTTTTTTTAAACTTCATATATTTATTTCTTAACACGTGGGAAAAAAACCTGTTGGAAGATTATAAATCCTGTCTTCAATTCCAGAGCTTAAAGATGCCTTTTATAAAAAGTCTGTAATATGTCTTCAATAATAATTGTTGTCAAACATATTCATAAATCTTCTGTCCTGCAAAACTAATTTTTCAGTGTTCAAAAAGATTGCAAATATAACGTGCCAGAGATCTGAAATGACTATATGTAATGAAGTACTGATTGTGAATCAAAATAGAAAGGAGCATCACAAGCATTAGAGATTTGGTGATGAGGAAGTAGAGAAGCACCTCAGTGGTCTCGAAGATTCTTGAGGAGCCAGATTCCTCTGTGCCCTTCTACTCAGAATGAAGACTGCCATTATAATGGAGACTCTATTGCGAATAATCTCAGCATAATAATAGCGATGCATTTCACACATTAGTCCCACATAGCCCTGTGCCAAATATCCTGTGCTGATAAGGATTTCTTCCCTCCTTTGCAGAGGAAGCTGTCAATGAAGTAAAGCGTCAGGCGATGGCCGAGTTGCAGAAGGCAGTGTCAGAGGCAGAGCGGAAAGCTCACGACATGATCACTTCAGAGAGAGCCAAGATGGAGCGCACCGTTGCCGAAGCCAAGCGCCAGGCTGCGGAGGACGCACTAGCTGTTATCAATCAGCAGGAGGATTCAAGTGAGGTAAGAGCCTTGCTGGGCAAGCATCACCTGTGGCTGCAAACCGTGGGTGTATCTGAGCTGGCTTTAATCTGGCACAGCCAGATCATGTGACACAGGAGTTCAATGCCCGCTATTAACTCTTCTCACAGTTGCTTAGGGCATGTATTTCAGGCGTACACCGAGTTCCAAATTTTCTTGGCTATGTTGTAATCTGAGCCCAGAATAGCTAGTGAACTTGAGCTGTGTTCTCACCTTTTAACTGCTGTTCAGGGTTACATATAATGTGCACATTGCTGTTCTAATTTGGCTTTTCAGTAGCTTCATTTTAAAGCTCTTCAAACTACCGTATTGAATAGATAAGAAGATTGCTCAGTGGAAAACACTTGACACTGAAATCTAATTTAAACAAAGAAATTATTCATGTAAGAGATTGTAGAGCAAGGTGGCTAAAAGCTTGTCTGGGGAAAGTGTTGGAGGTAGAAGTGATTTGCAAAAGATGATGGTTCCTGTAAGACAGAATGTGAATGTAAATTTGTATTTCCTTATTTCAAATGTGTTGCTTTGGATGCAGGGAATATTTCAGAGTTGAGGAGTGGGCAAACAGCATTTGGAAGGAAAAAAGAGATTCAAAGAGTAAAATGAATAAGTATTTTAAGCCTTAATGTACTTTCAGACCTGAGAGTGGAAACCTTGAATTTCCGTGGTACAGAATATCTGACAGCATGACTAGCTGAAGACTGGGGATCAATTAGCAGCATGCATTTGACCAGTGCTGCAATAATGTAGATAGCAATTAAATTTTATGTCTGTTGCAGAAAAACAGAGTTGTAAGTTAAAATTGTCCTTATAACCAGACATGACAAAGAAATTGTCAGTTAAAAGTTATTTGTATATAATCTCCATTTCTCAAGACCACTGAAATGAAATAGCTTTACCTTCATGAGGTATTTATTGTTCTTATGCTAACATCTTGACTGTAGTAAAACCATTTTTTAATATGAATTCTGGACAGCAGGGAGTTGGGAAAGAGAGTAGATAGCGGTACCTGTTGTGTGGGAACATGTGTTTGTGTACATTCCTGTCTAAACACTTTCTGTGGGCTGGATGGACAGTGTTGTAGAAGAGTCGCTTAAGTTGAAAGATGCAGATGAGCTGGCTGCAGCATGCTGAGAACACTGGCAGAAATCACGAGCGGCTAAGTCAGTGGCATGCTGCAGTATGCATCTGTAATTTGAGGGAGCATAAGATTTTAATTCATAGCAGCCTTCTCTGGAGATGAAAGACCATTGTGGGATCACTGAATGCCCAGAGTTTCTTCTTAATGTGTAGCAGATGAATAACAAGGAGACAAAAGGAATTGATTTTCAGCATCTGAAAATTTCTCAGGAAGAAAGAGACTAAGAGAAGTGTATGTACCCTTTAAGTACTAACTGTTCCATTGTAGATTAAATGAGACATAAATTCAATTTATTGGCCTTTTGTATCTGAGATACTCAAGGACTTTTCCTGTACTATTCATAGAAAGGGCATTTTTCTGGCATAGCATCATTAAAGAGCTGTCATTTTGTGTGTGTGTGTGTGTGTATATGCAAGAGACTCCTATTCTTAAAACCAAAATTCCAAAGGTAAATGCCTTTGGAGGAAACAGCAAATTAAATCTGTTTAGTGAACTGATATGTAGGCAGGACAGAGGAAGTACTTATGTGCCAATACATGCAGCCCATTTTTCCACAAGCAAATCTACATCCAAAAGAATGCATAGGGGGTTTGTGTGCTGTAATTAACTCCTGAGCAGTCAAAGCTCTGGAAAAAGCCATATAACAACAGTCATATTTACTTCTTCTCCAGCAGAATTGTTTATGAGGTTTTACACTTCTTGGAAACAGGACTTTAAATAAAGGCAAACAATTCTTTTAATTGTGTTCTAATGAAATGTGGCTCATAAGGTTATGGATGTTCTCAGGGCTGTGTGTCCTCAGGGAGGATACAGGCCTCCTGGACCTAGAAATGAAGTCTAGAGTCCTGGTCCTGCATCCTTCATTCCTGTGGTCATGAGTGGCACATCAGTGTGGCTGTTTTGAGGTGAAGAATGCAAGTTTCAGTAAACCATCAAAGAGCACTCAAGTTTGCTCAGTTTGTGTTTACAGGTGCTTGATGAACTGTGAAGGGAGATGACAGCAATACTTGTTTGAGAGTTAAATGTGTCTATTTATAACTACTTCCTCTTCAGCATCTAATTATGACAAACTCCAGACACTTAACACAATGCTTCTCGTGATTACCTGTTAATTCATGCTAACTCAGGCCCTCTCTTTTCTTTTCTTTTTTCTTTTCTTTCCTTTCCTTTCCTTTCCTTTCCTTTCCTTTCCTTTCCTTTCCTTTCCTTTCCTTTCCTTTCCTTTCCTTTCCTTTCCTTTCCTTTCCTTTCCTTTCCTTTCCTTTCCTTTCCTTTCCTTTCCTTTCCTTTCCTTTCCTTTCCTTTCCTTTCCTTTCCTTTCCTTTCCTTTCCTTTCCTTTCCTTTCCTTTCCTTTCCTTTCCTTTCCTTTCCTTTCCTTTCCTTTCCTTTCCTGATGACTTCTGTAAGGATGGACTGGACTTTTCCCTCATCTTTGGGGACAGGAGATCAATTTGTCAGTGTTTGAAAAGTGTTTCTTCAAAGACAAGACTTTGTGTTTCTTGGGGTTGAGGAATAAAATTCCACATTTGCTTTGGTGTTCCTGTGATCTCTCTGTGTACATCCCTCCTTGTTTGTCTCGGTTGTAAGTCTCCATAAACTTATCTCCATTTACAGCTTTCAGCAGAACACTACTAGCAGTACAGATTCTTGTGTATTTAAGGCACTGGAGTAGAAGTGCTAGGGCTGGAATATTTCCAGTTCCAGATATGAGACTGTCGAAGTGCAGCTTCTGCAGTCTTGCAGGTCTAGGGGAAGGCTGAGCATCCTTTATAATTTCTTATCCTTGGTGGGACATTGCACCAAAGTGTTCAAGAGAGCTCAGTATAGGCTGCTTTATAACCTTCATGTAATTCCTGGCAGAGAATATTTCTCCCGTGGGTGTCATTTATTTTTCTGGCTGTTCAAACTATGAATGGAGATGAGAATTTGGCACCAGCTTTCTAATGTATCAGATAAAATTTTTGTCTGATGTGACCACTCCCTGTCTATTGGCAAGGTTTCTCCCTTAAGCTCTTCATTTGTTATTTGGTAAAATGCAGCATGGACCTAGCTGAGGCTTTGTGAAGCTGCTCCAGTGTGAGAACTTTGTGACATGATTTTTATTGCAGTCTTCTCCAGAGCTCAAAGAGATAACTAGTACCAAAATTCAGGATTTTTGTAATTATTATAATTTTAAGATAATATGCAGTCTCCTCATCCAAGACCTTCCAGAGGGCTCACAGAGAGAAGTAGATTGGGGTTTTGGTATTTTTTTTATTGACATTGTTGGGGTTTGGGGGGGGTTGTTCAGGTTTTGTTTGAGGGTTTTGGTATTCTGTTTTGTTTTGGTTTTAACCCGGAAAGAGTAGCATCCCTGAGTGCAAGATTGTCTGCAAGAAGAAACTGAAGTTGGGCATGCTAAGCTGACCAGACCAAAATTAAGACAGCACAAGACAGTAAGAAGACTAATAGGGGAGGTGTGGTATTTGGAAGCATCCTGACTTTTAAGAAGTGGTCTGCAATATTTAGAGACATACCAGGTTACATGGTAGAGTTAGGATTTCTGACTCTGATGTGATCTCTTGTTGAACTGTCGTTCTATGCTTATGTTTGAGTTGTTTAGCATGTTTAACTGGCAGAGCTACTACTTCAGTGTCTGTGCATTTACTTTCTAAAGATTTCCATTATTTCTTCACATAAGGCCTTGCAACTGACTGGGATGTGTTTATGTGATTTTCTTTTACTGAGATTGTTTGAAGGCCAGCTAACAGAGCACACTGCTGCTGGAAGGCAAAAGGACAGGAGAAGGCCTACCTGTCAGCATGGCTGTTCCTGAGCCACAAAGTATTTCTTTACCAATTCCTTACAGTTGCTTGATAAAAAGATGACCCATTCATCAGCAGTTAACTTGGCCAAATACAGAAACATGTGTGAGCAGCCTACTCTTTAATGACTGCTGTGCTTGTTTTGGCTGCAATGTGCTGTTGTGCAAATCAATTTTAATAGTAAGGGTGAACAGCTTAGCAAAGAGACTGGCTGCCCAGATTGTAAGGGGGGGTGGGATCATCAAAACATCTGTCTTTCTGCTCTCCTATAAAATGCCACTGAAAAATCTGACACTCAGTGTTCTTCCTCAGTTTTGAGTAGGATGGGGGCTGGGGACAGGGAAGGAACACAAATGTTTCAGTTCTCTCTACTTGAAGCAGATGCTGACATCTGCTCAGATAAAACAAGTACGTAACTGGTCCAACACTGCTTTTAGGAGATGTGTAATGTTAGGGCTTGTTTATATTGCGGCAGTTCATGTTATATGTGAATATCACACTTACCTGACATTTTGAAGACAGCTGGGTTCAATCTCTGCTGACCAATCCACTGAGACCACGACTGTGCCAACAAACCTGACTGAGCATCAGATGGTGTGATTCAGGCAAGCCTAGTTTTTAGGCTGGTATTAAATTTAATACCTATGTCAGCTAATATTTAATTTTTTTGGCTGAGCGTCTCTTGGAAAGTAACACATCATCCCCTGCACTGGTGGGTGGTACAGAGGCGCCAGAGCCATGTGTTCTGTGCAAAGATCAGTCCAGATGTGATGTGAACATTGGCACTGCCCCAGCCTGCTAAGCTAAGCCTGGCTAGCCAGCTTGCGTGTTTCTTCTGCATGCTGCTCTGCCCTTCTCTTTTCAGGATTAGCTACTTTTGCTGACTTGTATGAACATAGATGTATTTCACACAATAAACAGTGGCTTGTGCAAGCCTAGGGTGTTCAGTGATAGGTGTAACTTCACTAGAAGCATCTAAAGGTTTGAATGTCATTTTGATGCAATGTGGGAATCTCCAAAGTACCAATGTGTTTCCCTTTCTAACGTGTTTTGGATAGAATTCTCATAAACAGATTTGCTGGTTTTTTACACTGGTATTCAGTGGCTCATATAGTCCTCATTTACGCCACTGTGGTTTCAGTGATTTCTAGAGGTTCCTTTTCTTGTGGTTAGCAGTGGTAGAGTTTTGAATGTCATCGACATTGCAGAACCGGGAAAAATCTGGGTTCTTCATACCCAGCCATGCTTCCTTTCATGGTAAACTGGGGAAATCCAGAATTACTCAAAGATGGCAGGGCAAGGTTTTGGATTTTTTCTTCCTTAAGCAAGCTCTATACTAAGTCTCGGTTGGAGGTGTCAGAGGAAAGCAAGTACTCAATTGTGGTTGAATATTTCAGAGATGAAAGCAATAGGATTGGCAAAATTATTGACCAGTATGTGTTCTGGTCCCAGAGACCACAGAAATGGAGACCATTTGTTTTTAAGAATGTTCATGATGGCAAACAGAAGTTTCTGAGTTCTATTGTTTGAAGATGGAATCTTAAGTCATGAGAATTAAGAGTTTGACCTAAGATAAGGCTCTGACCTAAGACTGATGTTCCTTGTCAGTTGAAAGAGGAGGATGAAATATGATCGGTGGCATAAATTCAGAACGAGATTCCCATCTGGTGTAATTTAGCCAAATTTCATTGAATTAATCCATTTTCAAGGTAGTGAAGTTAAATTGAATTATGTAGTCTGAGAATCTGGCCTTTTGTTTAACCTCACTGTTTCACAGGCAAATCAATGCAGAGTTAAACTGTAATCCGGTCCTCCTTGTAGTTTTAGCTACATCTGGAACTCTACAGTGCACGAGGTGGAATTGCTGTGTAGTAGGCCAGTACCTTAAGATAGAGAATACAGGACAGTAGAGGCTTTGATAGACTGCCTACTCCCTTTCCCAATCCATGATCAACTCTGGCTCTATCATTCCTGTAAGATATGTGATTTTCCCATAATTTAAAGATCCTCCAGCACTTCTCGGCAATTTGTGCCTGTCCTTAACAGGCTCAACCATATAGACATGGATGTAGACAGTCACTGCAGTGATGTTTGGGTGCTACCATCCCCTTGAGTTGCCATGTCACCTTAAGTTTAACAGTCTGAATTCTTTCATCTCATAGCTTGTGTTTTTCTGACTTCTGGTACTTATTACTAAGTAATCATGTAAGGAGCCAACTTAGCTACCTTTCTCCAAGGTTCTTTCCAAGTCTTATTTGTCTTATTTGATTTGCTGTATTTGAGGTGCCTCATTCCCAACCTGTACAGTATCCCAGACTGGATCTTGCCAGTTCTAGGAGATAGTCTTAAATCAAGCGTAAAACACTCCATAGTTGTGCTCCTATGCCGTTGTATGGAGATTGCTACCTCATCACCAACATGACATCATGATCACCTGTTGTCCAAGATGCTGTCTACACAGTTCAGCGAGGGTGCTTTGTTTTGCTGGCACCTGCTAGAGCATCCCAGGAGGGAAGATACCTCAAGTATGTTCAATCCCATTGTGAGCTCAAGCTCTATCTGTGGAAATACATGGAATACATGAGCAGCAGGGGAATATGAAGCATGGCCCAGACTATTAGCTGGCATCTCCAGCCTGGCTTTTCTTTGATAGAATTTGAGCTCTGCAGCTATCAGCCAGTACTCTTGAGCAGGAAGCATCTGCTTCCAAAGGTTGAAGTGCCCAAGCCTGATCTTTACTGCTGTTTTCTCACTGCTTGCACATGGGAAGGAGCAATGAATGGCCATAATGGTGAGGGCTGTGTAGGACAGGGAGTTCTGCACGTCAAATGGAGCCACTATCACAGTGCAAACTCCCCATGACATGTGTCTTTGTTTATGCTAATTTGCACTATAGTAGTTTTTAAATGCAATAAATTGTTGCATAAATGTGAGCTGTAAAATTTATTTTGAAATTCTTGTGTTTTATGTGCTTTTATTCCCACTATTACACTAAAGCTGTAATGACCTGTTAAATTAGAAATAATATGTCCAATGGACAAAATCACATGCCAAACAATGTAGGACACACTAAGTAATCATGTAAGAAGCCAACTTAGCAGTTTGCCACTTCATTAAAATCTTGCACCTATGTATCACTTTTCCTGTTCTCTATAGGCTGGTAGGTAGTTGATGTGTATTTTAATAAGAATGTTGAACCAATACTGTTAAAATTAAATGACTGTTTTCTGATATCAGTACAGATCTTGTGGTAAGATACTGAAATACTGTGTAGTGCGGTGGCTCTGGTCCCATCTGGAGACAGTTCTGTGTGTGCAGGTAGACTTTCCTTAAAAAGGGAAGGAAAAGAAGATTCCTCAGAAACTGGCCTATATTAACTAAACAGATACTTGAAGAGGTAGTTTGACATCCTCATAATAATTCCCACACAATTAAAGCATGCACTTCAGTCTTGCAAACAGGTCTGCACAAGGGAGGAATTCCTGCACCTGGGCAGTTGCTGGCTGACTTCAGCATTATTCCACGTGGGGAAAAGTGTCTTTTCAGAAAAGTCTGCATGGGAATGTTTTGTACATGTGTACTTGTTTTCAGACAAGTGGATAATGAATACGAATGAATATTCCACCTGAATACGAGGAAAAACTTCTTTATTGTGTGAGTCACTGAGCACTGAACAGATTGCCCAGAGAGGTTGTGGATTCTCCCTCACTGGAGGTATTCAAGAACCGTCTGGATGCAATCCTGAGCCATGTGCTCTTAGGGTGGCTCTGCTCAAGTAGGGAGGTTGGACCAGATGACCCATTGTGGTCCCTTCCAACCTAACTGATTCTGTGATTCTGGATAAAGGGAAATATGGGTCAAACCCAGAACTGTCAATTTAGTTGGAAATGAATAGCTAGGAGGTTAGCAGGCATGGCAGTAGGTGAAAACTCTGTGCAAGCACAGTTGGAGCAGAATTACACTGTGTTTACTGATCGTAGGGCAAACATCAAGCTGTCAAAGTGAAGCTTTCATTAGTATGATGCAAATGTAAAACAATGTCAGTATAGCAAAAGAAGAAGAATCCAGGTACATCATGCTTTTTTATGTTTCTTATGAGTCTCTATATCATGCTAATACAAACATGTTATTTTGGTGTATGTGTACATATGTCTGTATGTGTATGTGTCTATGTACAGTGGTCTAAATTACTTATAGTTGTTTTTCATTGTGGAGATAAAAGGTCTTTAAAAAGAAAAGGT